GAACAAAAAAATTTTCAATAGTACAACCTTCGTCGAGTCAAAGGTAAATTCTACATGGAATAATGATTAATGAATACTCAACGCATAAGAATTTGAACTAGCAGTCTTAACAACGTTGAACTTTAAGATAAATATTTATATTCTTAAAATGTAACTCATTAAGTCAAACGAACAATTAGTTTCAATTAAGATTCAAACAATTACAATAATTTCAAGAATGATTTTCTAAAAAATGAGTCATCGTCTTGTGAGAGTATAAAATGATAGATACTACATAAAAGTAACTAATGTATAAGAGATTAAATTACTCTTAATTTCTAAAAGACATTTGTGCCGTGTGTTAAAATAATACTAAAGGATATAGTTCATACTTGGCTTAAAATTTTAATAAAAATTTTGTTTTTAGTTAATATTGATAAAGAGATGTGTTTTGAATTGTTTATTGAGGAAAAAGACATACGCATAATTCGAAATAAGCGCAGAAGGGTAGAACTGTAGTTATATTGAGAAGCAAGGGCATTATCGAGAAGGAAAAAGAGCTAGACGGCGACCTCCAGAACTGTCTGAATACAGTAAATTCAGCGGCAAGAAAATTCAGAGGCATTTACTGCCGCACAGATTTGGAAGTGAAATTTGTATACAACATTTTCATATAGACATTTACATGTCGCTATTACAAATGTAAGTGCATCATTGCACACAGTAATTTAATATTGATTCGGGTTGGGTTGAATTACATCAGTTTGGATTGAGTTGTTGGGGTTGTTCAACTTGAAAGCTCATTGTGTATGAATATCACTATTATAAGTAACGTGACTCTCCCTTTCTCTCTCACGCATTTTCACACACACTGAATACATACACCCATAAGTGAATCTTCTGTAGTGTGATCTTTTTCATTTTTCTGGGTGGGTTTTTGTTGGCTTGTTGTTGTTAGCTGTTGTGATGCGAAAGAAGAGCAATGAAAAAGATAAACTGACAAAGATGTAAAGACACAGGATTACCATTTTTATCCTATCAAATCTTCTCTGCATATTTTCTCTCTCTCTCTCTCTCTCTCTCACACACACACACACATTGTGAGGATGCATAATAATTGATATGTAACTCTTGAATGTTTGATGTATTGATTGGGTTTGTGGGTTTTTGCAGGATTAATCTGTGGTGTTGATTTTAGAAGTCATATCTGATAGCACATAAAATCAACTCTTGTGTCATTTCAATCATTTTAATGAGTTTTGTTATTGTGGGTTTGGACAAGCAAAAAGCAAAAGTACTAGTATTTTATTTGAGGAATCTGGGTCCTCGTTAATTTCATAGCATTCCATTTTTAGATGTTCGAGAAAAGAGAAGTGGGTTCGGGTTCAACTTTGGCTCGCTCACTTGAGGCATTTTAACAAAAATTTACCCATTTGTTAAAGTAGATCCATTCAAAGGGAAGAAAATTGCTGTCGTATGTGTTGTACAGAGATCATATGCCCAACAGTGCATCATTGTGAGTGAAAAGATCGTCTCTCTGCAGATCCATATTAAGGGGCCTTCATTGTGTACCATTTCTGGTATCTGCATGCACAGCTATCTCTGGTTAATCCCAGTTGATTTCAGTATTTTAACTTGGACAAGAGAAACAAAAACCTCGTTCTCTCGGAAAAATCTGATTCTCAGTTAAAAGGGTCTTGTCATTCGGAAAATATTATGTTCCTGTGCTTCTCCTTTGGTTGAACAGTGGGCATGCCGGCTGTATTTGCACTAGTGTACAACTCATGTGGATGGGACAGAGAGGGCACAATAATGCATTTAATGTTTTCTTGCTGTTGGTTCATGTAAACAATCATATGCACTCTATTTGTTTTTGAGTTGTGTTTTTAAAAGAAAGAAATGTTTTTCTTTTGAAGATTTCGAAAGGGCAAAATTTTGCTTTTGGTATCATGAGTAGAGATTTGAAGAAAGGGGAAAAGCAGGAGAAGGGTTCTGATGTGTCTGTGAAAGTTGTGGTGGCTGTTAAGGCATCAAAAGAGATTCCCAAGACTGCTCTGGTTTGGGCTTTGACTCATGTTGTTCAACCTGGGGACTGCATTAATCTTCTAGTGGTTGTTTCTTCACATAGCTCTGGTAATATCCTGAATTTCCTCTGTTCAATTTCATGTTTCTTTAGCAATGAATTCTGACCTGTGCTTTTTTCTCTTTCCCTTTCTATTACCTTAAATTCCCTTCTTATTTTGTTGGGTTTTTTCTGTTAGACAATGAAATCAGAACATGAACTGAAATATGGCCTGTTTATTTTGTATGGTCCTTCCCAGTTGGGCGACCACTTCCCGTACTTTGGATCCTTGGTGTCCAAAGGGAGTATTGTCTTCCAAACTAGTTCATCTAGGCTGAATGACTTGGCTATGACTTTTTTATTATAAAATTTAGCCATTCTTTGCTTTTGAACTTGCAACCTATCTAAGACGTCCAACTTCAATTCGTCTAAACTCAACAAATTTTGAACTAGTGATTCGGCATACTCATCATCATTCAATTTATGTTGCAAGCACACTCGAATTGATTGCACGTTAATTTCCATAGGCAAAACGGCCTCCTATCCATAAACAAGTTGGAAAGGAGTAACTTTGGTACTTGACCGAGGTGATGTTCTATAAGCCCATAAGGCCTTGTTCAAACATTGGTGCCAATTTCTGGCATTTTTATCTATCATCTTTCTGATGATATTTTTTAGAATC